TACCCAGCAACTTAGTTTTTCATTTACTGTCCCTCAACTTCTCATTTTATTCGAATGTTGTATCGTATTCCAGAAGTCCCAGGGAAAACCAAGGAAAGAAATGAAGATATTCATGACAAGTTACCAACGGGGAGACAGTGGACATGTCCCTACCTTCCCTTCTGTCCCTATTCTCTCAACAGAGGTGACACATATTCATTCAAGCAAGGTCAACTTCTCAAAGCCTGGGACCTTGGCCTAGGGCATTTAACTGGGCACAAGAAAGCAGGCCTCTCGGGACACCAGGCCTTGATTTTAGATACACTAGTCTGCTGTGTGTCCCAGCAGTGGGGTCAGCCTCTGTTTATGTGGAACACATATAAAATAACCTGATCTGAACTGGAGCCAATGGCCAGGGTCTCTTCTGATCCTGCCTGCACGAGGGAAGCTACAAACGCCAGGACCCAAAGCATACTGGCCCTCCTATGAGGCTCCTATAGGCTGCATCTTTCTAAAAATACCTAACTCAGTGCCAGACAGCCTGGTGCTGGTTATATAACTCACATTACCAGCAATGCTCCCAAGCCCGCAAGGTAAAATGCTGCCAACCTCACCTTGACACACCAGAACACTGAGACACAGAGCCGAGAACTTACCCAAGCTGGAGACCTGCTCGTCTGAGTTGGCACCGGAGCCTGGATGTTTCTCAGTCTACAGACTTATTTCTCCTTCGTCAACTTCTGAGTCATGTCCACTACCATTTCTATGCCAATTTTCAGACTTACTGGTTCATTGTATTATTTCTAAGGGCCAGCAATTTTATGTAGGCTCTCCCCCTGCCTCTTTTTTTTTTTTTTTTTTTTTTTGTAAAAGCCCAGGTACTGAATTTGTTGATCAAAACAGTGCATGCATGTGGGTCCACGGAGGCAAAGGGAGCTTCCAGACTTGAAACCTAACTATGAAGAGGAAATATGAAAGTGAAAATGAGGGCGGGCTGAGGGAGACATGCATTTCACTGTCTAGTCCTGTATGGCCACGGTGCAGAAGGGATTTAAACACAAAATTGTGCAGTTGGTTACCTAACAAATACTTGAGCTTACAGAGAAAAGGTTTGAGAGAGGTAGCTCTAGCTGCCGAGACTGATAATTTGAATTTAATGCCAAAGGCCACATGGTGGAATGAGAAAAGCAACTTCCTAGGATTGTCCTCTGATTTCTGTATGTGTGCTGTCACACACAGAGACACAGGCACACATGCATGCACACAATAGGCACACACAGGTTTGTTTTAGTTCACCATTTTGAAGCTTTCTGTCATAAATGATTGCACCAAAAGCTTTAGATCCATGAAGAAGCAGCATAATGAGGTGGATATGAGGTAAGCAAAACCCCCTACCTCAAGGTTGGGATGCTAAATGACCGGCAGAAGGCATCAGAACCCCACAACCTTCTAGAGGCATGCACTCAACGACCTAACTTCCTTGCAGCAATGCTGACCTTCCAAAAACCCAACCCAGCTCCTAACCATGCCTCCTTGAGGGACAGACCTTTATCACATGGACCTGTGGGGTCTAAACCATAGTAACTTTCTAGGGCAGCTCAGATTCTGACCTTGTTTAGTGCCTCCCCAAACCGGTCTCACTTCAAATTAAAAACTTTCTTTCCAAAGCTGAGTGGTGGTGGTGGTGGGTTTAATTCCAGCACTTAGGAGTCAGAAGCGGGTGGAACTCTGTAACTTCAAGGCTAGCCTGGTCAGGGGAGCAAGTTCTAGCACAGCCCGGGTTACACAGAGAAACCCTGTCTCAAATCTCCCCCAACCCTAAAAGATCCCTTTTCCCATTCTAATAACCCATTGCTCGTTTGACAGTCAGCAGGCTTAGAACATTTCTTCAAATGTAGCCCTGAGCTCGTGTTGTCTGCTGTTTTAACCATCAAGGGTACAAGTGCATACAAGCCACACTTCTTTTATTCCTTTGTCTCACACAGCACCACACACACAGAAGTTGCTCAATCAATGATCCAACAACTAGTAGTTAAAGATGAATGAGTCTGAGAGAGCTCAGGACCCATGAGGATTTGGGCAGTGTCGACAAGGCCTGGCATCTGACGTGCATCGGGGATGAGCAGACTCTTCCTGTGCAGCGTCCCCTGGAAACCAGAGCAACCCAGATCTCCTACTCCACAGCTTGGGTTTCCGCTCTAGTTCACTCTCAAGGATGAAACAGGAGACTGACTCTGCCTATAAGACTGCCTTACCAGTAGAGGGAGCAGAAACATGCTTGCGTCTGGGAGCCAATGGGACCTGTGTGCTGGCCCAGCCACCATGAGCAACTTTATTGAGTGTTTCTGTGTTTGGTCTTTAAAATCCCAGCAACAATGCCCCTTCACCACCACCTCTGGGTGGTCGAGTCCACTCTGGCTGACACACAGTGGGGGAACAATAAACCATATCTCAGGACCCCACTAGGCGATCACAGAGACGTACTCTGGTTGACACACAGTGGGGGAACAATAAACCATATCTCAGGACCCCACTAGGCGATCACAGAGACGTACTCTGGTTGACACACAGTGGGGGAACAATAAACCATATCTCAGGACCCCACTAGGCGACCACAGAGACGTACTCTGGCTGACACACAGTGGGGGAACAATAAACCATATCTCAGGACCCCACTAGGCGACCACAGAGACGTGGAAACTAAACAGACACTGGTTCCTGTTTGATGCTTTTAATAAACATTTGAAATCAGTTTTCCTACTTGAAACTTAAAATAAACAGCTACATCAAATGGTCACGTAAACGGATTGCTGAAAAGGTATTAGTACCCAGCAAGAATTTCAGGAGGCCATTACATCTCTGGACAGAAGGCCTTAAAACGAGGCATGCCATCCACACTAGAAGCTGTTTAAACTAAAACATGCTACTGTTGCAGGATCGTCTGAGGTGCTGCGCGAGAGGCCTGTGATGAGCTGTCTGGGAGTTGAGGCAGGAGGTTCAGAAGTTCAAGGCCTGCCTCCAGTGCCACCCTAGACTCCAGAGACTCTGTCTAAAATCTAGAAGCAAGAAGAGAGCTGGGGATAAAGCTCAGCGGGGGAGTGCTCACCAAGAATGAGTGTAACCCCCAAAGGCAATAAATAAATATAGATAGATATAGGTAGTTATATTTCATAGTCGAAAGTCTGAAAGATTGTTACTGTTGTGTCCTTGATGGCAGTAATGGGGTCAACAACCTTACAAACACAGGAGTTTAGTAACTTATAAGTGCTCCATCAAATTGAGCACCATGAGCCATTACAGTGGTGCGGAAAGACAATCACTACATAACGTGAAAACTCCCAAGGCACAAGCAGTCTGCTTTCCCTTTTGTTTGAAAATATTCCCAGGACAGAATAAAAATAAAATCTGTCTTAATAAGATAAAACTAAAAATATTCAGAACAAAAATAATAAAAATATTAAAATATTTTCATAGACAACGAGATTGTTAGTGAGTCCCCCTCCTTTTTATTTAAAACTTATCATTTTTTGTTATAAAATAGTGCAACTTTTTTTCTTTTACAGAGGCAGAAGTCTCATTTAACATTGCTTTCCAGAAAAGCTAGGTCAGTGATTAGGTAAATTAAGTCAATTGTAATAAAGTGACTTGAAGTTTCAAGGTAGTTAAAGTCATTATAAACCTGATAAAATCCAGACTTGGTCGCTAGACTTTAACTGTTGTGAGTTGGCAGTAGACAACATCTCTACTTTTTTTTAATCAGGCCTAAATATGACTCAGAATTACATATGAACCATTGTTCATGCAAACAGCCACGTGACCTGCTTGTCCCCTCGGTGTAACGCAAAACTCCCCTATCTCCCAGTCCAGGTTGGTTGCACTTCTCCGAGTCGTGTATGTTTGCTCTCCGCTACTTAATTTACTCTGCTGAAATAGAGTGGAATTTCAATGCAGAGTTACCCATTAGCTCCAAGGCTAAATTTAAACCTCTAATTAAATTAATCCACTCACCTTAAACACTTTGCTTCTCCCGCAGAGAAGGGTAGCAAGGCTTCTTAGGTGTCACAGAGCCTAATTCAGGAAGACAGTTGCTCCACACTGTGTTTAGTTTTGGCTTAGAAAACTGGGTGGACGTTTTGGGAAGCCCCTGGGTAGTCCCACAGTTGCAAGTCCTAAAACCACTTGTTGCGGGGTGGGTCCAGAGTCACAGTGTCCTTAGGCAGGAACCCATATTTCTGGGACATATAGCTAGGAGCCAAACGGATGTTTATGAGATAAATGGGAATAATTGCCCTATCTGTCCCCGTTTACAGATGAGTAAAGAGATTACAGTGGCAAACATTTAAAGGTGGCGACAGGAACATAACTGCAAGATTATTTTAGCCCACCCAGATCTTCAAAGAAAAGGCAATACATTTTCAGGGACCAAATGAAAATCCTGCTATCTTTTGCTAAGAGCACCCGGGGTGTGTAAGTAAAACAGCTGGCTCACATAGAAGGTGTTCACAAACCTGGGCAGCTAGATGCCTTTATTCATCCTTAATCTTGGCAGCCACCCCCTGGGTCTGCGAAAGTGGGGGCACATCCCAGTGGTTAGCGACACTTTCGGTGGGAATGTCCACGTAGAAAAGTGTGCCCTCCCACGTAACTGTTAACAAGGTCCCGTGTGCCCAGGCCCAAGGGTAACGCTAGATTCGGTTACTAGGTCGCGGTGCAAAGGCTCCAGGTGATCTCCCCGTAACTCTTCTGGGAGCACAAGCCTGGGCTGTGGCTCACTGGGCTCTGTGGACACCCGCGATTCTCCGCCCGAGCGTACCGAGGTGACGTGCTCGCCTCCAGCACCTGGCTTCCGCGCGCCCCAGGAATAGGACCGGACGGGCGAGCCCCTGCCCTGCCACGCGCCGGGCTCTGCCTTCCTCCTCCTCTTTCACCTCCTCCTCCTCCTGCACGGTCGCCTCCCGCCGCTGCGGACTCCGCCTGCGGCTTTGTTTTCCTCCCAGGTCTCATTCCCCACACGTGATACTGTGTTATTGCAAAGAGCGCTTCGGAGCACGAGCGCGGGGCGCGCGCACCTATAAATACGGCCGGCCGGGCCCGGGAACACGCGATCGCGCGGCGCGCAGGGCCGGCCAGTGCGCGTGGGTCCCGGGCGTGGAGGGCGAACCAGGAGCGCGTGAGTCCCAGCGGCGCCTGAGCGCCCAGGACCGAGCATGGCCCGCCTGCGGGAGGGCAGGGCCGCCGCCTCGCACACCGCCCGCGCCCCGCGCCCTGCCCAGCCCGGGTCGCCGAGGCTCGCGGCCGCCGCTTAGCACTAGGCACCCGCCACTCGCTTCTCGGGCACCGCGGAACTGACGCCGCAGACGGACACAATGGCGGCGGCGACTGCCACCGCGGGCACGGCCGCCTGCAGCAGCAGCAACAGCAACAGCAGCAGCCGCCGCGGCACGGACGCAGCGGCCACCAGCGGGGTGCAGGCGCCACCGCCGCCTCCGGCCACCGCTAAACCCGAGCCTCTCCGTAAGTCGCGCGTGGACCCGCGGCGCCGCCAGGCTGCCCTGTCCTTCCTCACCAACATTTCTCTGGATGGACGGCCGCTGCTGCAGGACGACGAATGGGGCGGCGGCGAGGAGGGCGGCGCGACCAAACCGGGAGCGAGAGCTAGGATCAGCCTGCTGGCCGCCGGCTGCAACGCGTTCTCTGCACCGGGCACCGCGGTCGCGCCGTGGACAGCGGTCTCCGGTTCCAGCCCTTGTCCGCTGCCTCCGTCCCTGGTCCCCCGGCCGTCGGGGGAATCGCTGCCTCCCCGTTCAGCCCCAGCTGTCACGGGTGCTCAACTGCAGCTGCCCGACGGTCCGGGGGGTGTCGAACAGGAGGAATTGGAGGAGGACGATGCCTTCATCAACGTGCAGGTGCCTCTGGCCAGCTTCTTGGGCTCTGGGACCCCCGGGAGTGCGAGCGGCAGTCGGGGCCGCCTCAACTCGTTCACTCAGGGAATCCTGCCCATCGCCTTCTCCAGGCAGAACTCGCAAAATTACTGCGCCTTGGAGCAGCCAGGCCAGGGAGCCTTGGAGCAGCTGCAGAGGTCCCGGTGAGTATTCTGAATGCCAGGCGCGGCCAACTTGGCGTTGTCCTTACGACAGGAACCCCACCGGGGTCGCTCCCACCCTCCCGCGCCTGACTAGATCCCGGGCTCCTGGCTGGAATCCCGAACTACTAGGGCATGTGAAAAGGGGAAGAGGCCCAGGGAGTATGTGGTCACACGTGTGCATGAACTCGGCACTAGCAGAGCAGGCGCACCCTGCCCCTGCTTTGGCCAAGGAGTTGGAAGAAGCAGTTAAAAAGCTGTTCTCAAGCCTCCCGGTGCAAGCTTCCTGAAAACCGGTCCAGACCCGGAGGCGCGTCCCCAGCTCTGGGCGAGCAGGCCGGGTGCAGTGGGTGGGGCCGGGACTGGGCGGCGCTCCGGAGCCCCAACTAGTAGCAAACACGTGGGAACCCATTGGAAACTTTGTGGAGCCCGGGAAATCGTGTTTTCCTTTTGTTTTTCTAAGAAGTGGATAGTTTTTTTCTGGCATTTCCTTGGTCCAGGCCTATGGTGTCGGGGACAGAAAGGAAATATGCCCTGAGACTTACATTCAGAGAAAAACTGGCGAGAGTTAGAAGCTTGCTATATGCTTGTTTGGGTTATTTGCGGGTTTGTGACATCTTAGCAAAACCGTGAAGTCTGCTTAGTGGAGAAATAGTTGTAGTCCATTGCCGTATGTTGGGGCAGTTGGCTTTGGTTCCGCGTGAGATAGTGAGACTGCAGGTGGAATTCTGCAGGCTTGCAGCACGAGTCCTTCCTAGCTAATAAAAGCCTCCTAAGAAATTATCCCATCGACTATCTTAGTTAACTAGCAGAATCGTAGGCAACCAGAGCCTCTGTTTCCTTTAAGGGCTAGGCCCTTGCCAACGTTCTGTGGGCATCTAGGTAGGCAGGGAGACCACCTCTGCTGCCCATGCTCTCCTGGACGCTTCAGTGAGGGCTCAGACTTGCTATGGCCTGAATAAGAAGGTGACGTCTGTTGGAAAACTTCCTTGCTTAATGGAATGAGAGAAGAAGCAGCTGGGCGCACACAGAAGTTTGCTGGCTTCCCAGTGCTGTAGCCAGAACCATGCTGCTGTTGGGTCTGATCCTTGCAGTGCACAGGGGCCTTAGGCACGGTGGTGGGGTCTGGGGAGGCAGCCTCCTGATTGCATCAATGAATGAATGATTCCGGGTACAAGTGGCAATCCTGCCCTGGCATTTCTTGTCAGAGCATGCATCTTCTGGAAAGCCCATGAGTGGATGGGCAGCTCTAGGCTGGCAGAATTGTGTTAGCACTTGACTTCACACCCTGGCTCTTAGTGACTCTGGAGTCTGAGCCCAAGCCCCGCAGAGGTTATGACAGGCATTGTGCTAAACCAGCGTGTGGCCTGGAGGGCAGACTGCTGACAGCAGCAGGAAATGGGATTACCCTCCACACTTCCTCCAGGAAACTCCAGAGGTGTGGAGCACAAAGGGCACCCTGAGCTCCCTTGCTAATCCTAGCCCTGGAAAACTTTAGGGTGGCTTGTTTACTTTTTTATTTTTGTTTTTCTAAACAGGGTGCCTCTGCGTAGCTCTGGCTGTCCTGGAACTCACTCTGTAGACCAGGCTGACCTTGAACTCACAGATCCACCTGCCTCTGGGATTAAAGATGTGCACTGCCACCACCTGGCTAAGATCTCCTCTATCCAAACACACTTCAGCATTTGCTAGTCTCAAAGATGTGTCTGCCTGACAGTCATACTTGACCAAACTATTTCTGAATAGCCATTATTTGACAACCTGATTTTGGCAGTTCTTAATTGGGGGAGGGGGCAGAGGGAAGGCTGAGGTGTTTTGAGAAAGGTCACTGTGGCCATGGAGACCTCCCCCCCCCCCCCAGGTGTATCACTTTTATGGCTCCTCAAGAGGACTTTCACCTGCTCAAGCTTGCTAGCTCTTGGCTCGCCTGACCAGGCCAGCCCTCTGCTGCTCCTTGCCTTCCTGGTGTATTGGCTTTCTGAAGCCCAGTAGCCAATGGGCTCTCTACATACACTGTTTTACAAAATCTCCTAGGAGGTGAGCTGCCAATCAATGCAGACTTTCCGTGGATTCTTTCCTAGCTCTGTAAGAAAGTCTATGGAGCCTTGTTTTTTCTGATTGTGAACTCTGGACCCTTAGACTTATGGAGAGCTCTGTCTGTTTCCACTATGTCCCACGCGAATTCTTGCCCAGGTTCCCCAAGTGGTTCATAAGAGCTGCCATAGTGGGCTCAAGTCCTCTCTTTCTAGTGAGTTGAAGCTCTTCAGTATTGAGTTTGTTAAGGATATATAAAAATCACAACTTCAAGGCCTGGACTCCTAAAACTGTGTCTGGTTTCTTCCCTCTGCACTCTTGAGGGACGGGGGTGGAACCCAGCTCCTTAGGCAAGCCAGAGAAGCCTTCCGCCACTCCGCTATAACCCCGACTCATCTGGTGAATTGCCTTGCTGTCCGAGTTGGAACTGCGGTGGGAGGAGCATTTCTGTGGTCGGAGCTTAGGGTGCAAGCTCAGTAGCCATGAATCCAAGCAGTGGTCACCACCGCTGTACACAGAAACTGGACATCAAAGGTATTTGATCCCCCCACAACTGCCCTGTGTGTGAATTCTTTTGCAGACAGGGAGACTTCAGGGTCAGGGAGATTGAAGACTGGCCCAGCCACTGAGAGGCACCTTGGCTGTGGCCCGGGCTTGGGACTGGAGAGGAACCTGGGTTTTTGCCATCCATACATGGCCCCTTCCTTTCTGCCCGTTAGCCTTATCCTTGTCTTACACATAGTAGGACCATCCTGACTGTAACAGTTGTCTGGAGCATAGCAGGCCAGTTGTTCCCTGTGATTCTGTAGCCCTCTTCTGATGGTCTGATGTTTTGTTTTTTCTGTTTCATCCTCCAACTTTGTTACCACTTCCTAGGCTCCCTTGTGTTTGCAGGGCTCCCAGAATCCTGCCCGGCCCTTGTGAAAGGATCTCTGTGCAGCTCTGGGGTTTCTGAACTGCAGTTTAACTGTACACACTGCTGAGCCCCACATGGGCAAGGTGTTAATAGACAAAGAGAGCAGATTTTTGGAAATGTATTTTAAGGCTTTAAAACATATTTTATTTTAAAATCATCATCCAAGGCCACAGCTGGCTTCAGAGAACCTTGGAAACTGCTGAATGGCGTGCAGCACGGGGCTCAGGCGTGAATGCCAGCCAGAGGGCTGCCCAGAGGGGCTCAGGCGTGAGTGCCAGCCGGAGGGGCTGCCCAGAGGGGCTCAGGCGTGAGTGCCAGCCAGAGGGCTGCCCAGAGGGGCTCAGGCGTGAGTGCCAGCCAGAGGGCTGCCCAGAGGGGCTCAGGCGTGAGTGCCAGCCAGAGGGCTGCCCAGAGGGGCTCAGGTGTGAGTGCCAGCCGGTGGGCTGCAGATTGGGGCTCAGGCGTGAGTGCCAGCCAGAGGGGCTGCCCAGAGGGGCTCAGGCGTGAGTGCCAGCCAGAGGGCTGCCCAGAGGGGCTCAGGTGTGAGTGCCAGCCAGAGGGCTGCCCAGAGGGGCTCAGGTGTGAGTGCCAGCCAGAGGGGCTGCCCAGAGGGGCTCAGGCGTGAGTGCCAGCCAGAGGGCTGCCCAGAGGGGCTCAGGCGTGAGTGCCAGCCAGAGGGCTGCCCAGAGGGGCTCAGGCGTGAGTGCCAGCCAGAGGGGCTGCCCAGAGGGGCTCAGGCATGAATGCCAGCCAGAGGGCTACCCAGAGGGGCTCAGGCGTGAATGCCAGCCAGAGGGCTACCCAGAGGGGCTCAGGTGTGAGTGCCAGCCAGAGGGCTGCCCAGAGGGGCTCAGGCATGAATGCCAGCCAGAGGGCTACCCAGAGGGGCTCAGGTGTGAGTGCCAGCCAGAGGGCTGCCCAGAGGGGCTCAGGCATGAATGCCAGCCAGAGGGCTACCCAGAGGGGCTCAGGCGTGAGTGCCAGCCGAGGGCTGCCCAGAGGGGCTCAGGTGTGAGTGCCAGCCGAGGGCCGCCCAGAGGGGCTCAGGTGTGAGTGCCAGCCAGAGGGCTGCAGATTGGGGCTCAGGCGTGAGTGCCAGCCGAGGGCTGCCCAGAAGGGCTCAGGTGTGAGTGCCAGCCGGAGGGGCTGCCCAGAGGGGCTCAGGCGTGAGTGCCAGCCGGTGGGCTGCAGATTGGGGCTCAGGCGTGAGTGCCAGCCGGAGGGGCTGCCCAGAGGGGCTCAGGCGTGAGTGCCAGCCGGTGGGCTGCAGATTGGGGCTCAGGCGTGAGTGCCAGCCGGAGGGGCTGCCCAGAGGGGCTCAGGCGTGAGTGCCAGCCGGAGGGGCTGCCCAGAGGGGCTCAGGCATGAATGCCAGTCAGAGGGCTGCCCAGAGGGGCTCAGGTGTGAGTGCCAGCCAGAGGGCTGCAGATTGGGGCTCAGGCGTGAGTGCCAGCCGGAGGGGCTGCCCAGAGGGGCTCAGGCATGAATGCCAGCCAGAGGGGCTGCCCAGAGGGGCTCAGGCGTGAGTGCCAGCCGGACGGGCTGCCCAGAGGGGCTCAGGCGTGAGTGCCAGCCGAGGGCTGCCCAGAGGGGCTCAGGCGTGAGTGCCAGCCAGAGGGCTGCCCAGAGGGGCTCAGGTGTGAGTGCCAGCCAGAGGGCTGCAGATTGGGGCTCAGGCGTGAGTGCCAGCCGGAGGGGCTGCCCAGAGGGGCTCAGGTGTGAGTGCCAGCCAGAGGGCTACCCAGAGGGGCTCAGGCGTGAGTGCCAGCCAGAGGCACTGTTTAAACTGTACTGTTTAAAAATAGCACAGGTCTTGGCCTTTAGAACACCTGAGTTAGCTCTGCATGTAATGATCACTGCGTCCCATGCAGAACAACGTGTATGGGGGAAGGAGTCCTATGATGGAGGACCCATGTCCTGGGTTGGAATGCTGTGTGACCCTGGACAAGGGAAGGAGCCATATGATGGAGGACCCATGTCCTGGGTTGGAATGCTGTGTGACCCTGGCAGGTGAATCCGCAACTTTTCTCTTGAGCTCTTTGGCCTGTGTCTC